GCATGATCGTACAGCGAGATGTCTTCCTTGGCAGTGAGCTGTAGAAAGAGGTGTAGGTCATCAAGCCAGGTGTCGAACTTCACTGGGCGGCCCTCAGCATCGAAGGCTAGCACAGGAGGGCTAGCCATGGTAGCAGCAGTAGGAAAAGCAGTAGGATAGGTAGGGCGGCGCGGCTCGGGTCGGGCGGCGCGGCTCGGTATAGGTAGGGCAGCGCGGCTCGGGTCGGGCGGCGCGGCTCGGGTCGGGCAGGGCGGCTCGGTTCGGGCGGCTTGGTTCGGGCGGCTCGGGTCGGTTAGGGCTGGCGGCTCGGGTCGGGTGGCTCGTTTCCGTTAGGGCTGGGCGGCTCGGTTCGGCTCGGTTCGGGCTGCTCGGTCAAGGTGGGGCCGTTCGGGGCCGCTAAGGGCGAGCGCGGGGAGCGGGTGGGGCCATGAGGGACGAGCGCGGGGCCGACGTGGGTGCTAAGGGCGAGCGCGGGGCCTATCGGGGCCGTGAGGGACGAGCGCGGGGCCGATCGGGGCCGTAAGGGACGAGCGCGGGGCCGACGTGGGCCTCTAAGGGCGAGCGCGGGGCCGTGAGGGACGAGCGCGGGGCCGATCGGGGCCGGAAGGGACGAGCGCGGGGCCAACGCGGGCCTCTAGGGGTAAGCGCGGGGCCGATTCGGGGCCGTTAAGGACGAGCGCGGGGCCGACGCGGGCCTCTAGGGGTAAGCGCGGGGCCGATTCGGGGCCTCTAAAAGCGAACGCGGGGCCGACCTAGGTCTCTAGGTGCGAGAGCGCGGGGCTGACGGGGCCTCTAGGGGCGTGAAAGCCGAGGCGCCCTAGGGCGCAGGTAGGTAGGTAGGTAGGTAGTGGTGGGCCCTAAAAAAAAATCGGTCCTTGGAAGGACCTGCTCTATACCATGTTGAACAAGAATGAATGAACTAAGAGTGAAATGAGTACAAGTAAGAAAAACTAGGAATGTGTACCCCCTATAGGCTAACCCACTGTGGCCTAAACAACTACAACAACATATATAATGTTTGACAAGAAGACGCGTGACAGTAGGACTGGCAGCACGAAGAGAGTCCGACTCCGGGTCGGCAAGCGCAGGAAGAGAGGACTCAGGAGGAGAAGGCAAAGGGGCACGTAGAGGAGCAGTGGACGGACGCAGAGACATCCGGTGTCTGCCAGGGACAGGAGGAGGACGCTGACGCGAACCGCGACCACTAGCACGAGCAGCACGAACAGGCGACGCGGGACGAGACGCACGCTCAGGACGCTCAGCAAGACCTCCAGTAGGAATAGTGTAAGGAGAGGGAGCAGGCAGTGGGGAGGCAGGCTCTAATAGTGACTGTGACTGGACAGGCGGAGGACACTCTACAGGAGGAGAAAGACCAAGAACCTGCTGAAGGAGCGGAACGAAGTACGGCCGAGGCCGCGCGACAGCTCCAGTCTCAGCAGGGACAGCACCAGCACCCTCAGCGGCAGCACCAGCGCCAACAGCACCTCGAGCGGCAGGACCTCCAGCAACACTAGTAGTAGGACCACCGCCAGGACAGACAGCAGCAGTCTCAGCACCAACACCCTCAGCAGCTCCAGCTCCAGTAGGACCCGCAGGCCCAGCAGCTCCGGGACCGGCGGCACCAGCACCCTCAGCGGCCGAAGAAGCGCCAGCTCCAGCAGTACGCCTCCAGCGGCGAGCAAACCACTCGCGCAGATCCTGTGGAGAGAGTGGCTCCCGCCGAGACGGAGCACCCGGAGAACCTCCAGGCCCAGCACTGCCAAACGCCACAAGGGGAGGTCCACCGGTCGCAGGCTCCGCACCTCCAGGCTCAGCATCTCCAGACGCAACACCCACAGGCTCAGCAGCTCCTGACGTAGCAACCCCAGACTCAGCACCCCAAGTTGGAGTACCCCCAGGCTTAGCACCCCCAGGCTCAGCACCCCCAGAGTCAGCACCCCCAGGCTCAGCACCCTCGTGCATGGCACCCCCAGAGTCATCACCCCCAGGCTCAGCACCCGCAGCAGTACCAGAGTCACCAGCAACCTCGACCGGCTCGACTGCGTCAACCTGGGACACACCCGAAGGGCCATGACCGTGAGGGGGAAGGGGGTCTACCGGGGGGGGACCTAGCACAAGGAAGTGTGGCGGCGGGGGGAGGGAAGGAGTGCGGTAGGGGAAGAGACGGTAGAAGTGGACTGACTCGTCGAACGTGACGTCCTAGAAGGACAGAACACGACGAGAGGAGGGGTGGTAGAACTGCCACCGTGGGGCGTCAGGGGGGAAGCCTAGGAAGACACAGGGAGCAGCACGAGGGGACAGCTTGTCCGCAGACAAGTCGCGGACAAACGCCCGAGATCCCCAGACACGGAACGCAGACGCATCGCCGACCTTCCGCGTCCACAGCAGAGCTGGGGAGGTCTCCGGCCGAAAGACCCTGGGGTGAAGGTTGATTTGATGCGCCGCGTACCGGACCGCAAACGGCCACAGAAAATGGGGGGCAGCCGCATGCATCATGGACGTACGAGCGACGTCCATAACCATGCCAATGCGGCGCTCAGCAATCCCATTTTCTTGTGGAGAGTCCGGAAGCGTAAAGGTCTGGCGGATGCCTCGTGCACGACAGTAGGCTCGCCTCGGTCAGAGTGCAGACGCAGAGCAGGATAGTCCGAGCCGAAGCTCCTCCTGAGGTGGAGACGAGCTGCGCGGATCCAGTCGATCAACACCTCAGTGACATCACCCTTGCTGCGCAAGGGGAAGACTGTGGTGTAACGCGAGTAGTCCTCAACCACCAGCAGGAAGTAGCGCTCGTGACCCTGTCCACGGACGCGGGCCGGGCCCCACACGTCCATGTGAAGCGTCTGCAGAGGAGCCTCTGTCGGGGGAAACTGGGAGGAGTGAGGGGCAGCACGGAGCCGCCCCTCGACACAGGGGACATAAGAAGGTCCAGGCCCCGAAGGAAGGGGAGGGAGAGACCGGGGGAGACCAGAGACAAGGACACGGGAAGCCATGCCCCGAAGACAAGGCAGGGAGGGGTGGCCAAGACGGTGGTGCCACAGGAGAGTCTCGTGAGACAAGAGGCAACACGAGCAGGGGGCAGACTCAGGACCAGACCTGGACCCTAAATTCGTGGTGAACGGTAAGCAAACACAGGTGTGCGGGGAGGGGGGGGCGCACGGCGACACGCGGGTCGACGGGGACGGGCACACTGGTCGCCGGAGGCGGCGAGCGGGTCGACAAGGCCGCCGCGAAGGGCGACGGGGAGCCGCGCGCGGGTTGACGGGGCCACCGCGTAGGGCGATGAGGAGCCGCGCGAAGGGCGACGAGGAGCCGCGCGCAGGTCGACGGGGACGGCCGTGCGGGTCGACGGAACGCGAAACCGCCGCGTGCGCCCAGGGTGCGCGGTGGGCAGGAAACCGCCACGCGTCCCGAGCACGTGGCGTGCAGAATACCGCAGCGCGAAGCAGGAAACCGCCGCGCGCCTCGGGGCGCTCGGCGGGCAGAAAACCGCCGCACACCCCGAGCGCACGGCGGGATAAAAACGCCGCCCGCTCCGAGTGCGCGGCATTTAGAAAGGGTCGCGCGCCCGGGGCGCGCGACAGCAGTAGAGCAGCGGAAGCTTTAGGTGGTGGGCCCACCCACAGGATCGACCCAAGGGGATTGACCTGCTCTGATAGCATGTCAAAATAGTAGCTAAGGCTAAGAAGCCATGGCTAGGTTTAGGGTACACGAAAGAGAAACGACAGAAGAGAAGGGGTTTCACTAGCAGCTGTTGGGGTACATATAGCAAACCCTAACTGGGTTGTGCTTGCTATAGAGCACCCCACTACAGGCTAGATAATAACATTCTGACAGCGAATTCATGAAGGTGTTGCATTTCAGCCCGTACCTGACAATTTTCCAATGTCAACGTTTCGAGTCGGCGCATGAGTTGAGGAAGCGTGTTGCCCATATTGTTGGGGACAGCGGTCATGGTTTCATCCATGTCGGCTCGACGACTCCAAATCTGCAAGTCGGCACCTCGGGACGATGGCGTCGTAGTCTCGTCATCGACGGTCGCTCATTGGAAGTTGCTCCCCGCGAAGGCTCTTGATACCAAGTGTTAGGTCGCTTGGCCTAAATCCACTAACGAATAGCGGGGTGGAGTATATCGAGGATAAAACGCGGTGGAAGACTTTGGCAAAAGTCTTAGCAAAATAGGCGAAGAAGTAACTGAGTTAAAATTGAATGGTATTGGCGAATACAAGCAAGGTTGATATAGCATGCAAGAGCAATTGTCGGAAAGTAGTTTGTGGGACTAGGAAACGGAATGCAAAGAAAGTAGAGTGCCACGTGGCATGCTGGAAATCTGAAAGTATAAGATTGGGATGTTGCGGCGAGAGTGCCGTTTATTGAAACGTCAGCCCCGGCTACAGCACATGTAGTTAAAGAAAAGCATAAACATGCTATTACAGCATTGGGTCCCATTACCAAGCTTCATCCGCACACAATGTGAAAACTCTGCCCTTCACATTGCAAACATCAAGACCGAGAGGGTGGCAACAGCAGCAGCACCCGAGAGGTTGATGGCCACAGCAATGGGAGTGCAAAGGGCAGATGCTGATGGGGTATTGGGTGCTGACGTTGCAGCCGATGCTGGTGCTGCAACTGATGTTGGTGTTGCAACTGATGCTTGTGCTTCAGCTGATGTTGGTGCGTCAGCCGATGCTGGTGCGTCAGCCAATGCTGGTGCTTCTGTGGGTGCTGACACTGGAATGTGGGCCCAGATATAGATTGGAAAGAGTTGAATCATATGATGAAAAGCATACCTATCCCCCCAACTAGCCATTTTGGAAGGCTTGTTTGGAACCGCTGTGGCTCTGTAATTGGGTGTGTGGGAGTGTGTGAGTATGTGTGTGTGAGAGAGAGTGTGTGAGTGTATGTGTGTGTGTGTGTGTGTATTTGTGTGTGTACGCGCACATGTGCATGCGTGTGTGTATGTGTGTGTGTGTATGTGTGTACAGTCAATGCAACATAGAGACTTACATGCATGGGGCGTGCAGGAGGAGCAGAAGGAGAAACAGAGGTGGCAGAAGCTGGTGGTGTTTCTCTGCTGCACCACACACTTGCTGCCCTCTACAGGGCAGGTCAGCCCCGTGCCCGAGACGTTCCTGCGAGAGAGTGAGGGGGGGAGAGGGGGTGGGGGTGGGGGGGGGAAGGATGAGAGGAAAGAAAATAAACACTCATACAGATTTCAGGAATACAGGTTCCTGTCTCTCTTTAGAGGAATAGGTCTTGCACAAGTGCACTGAGGAGATACTTTAACTTGTGGGAGCAGTGGAGTTCAATAGCATGTTAACGCTTGTACAGCAGCTCCTGGTGGTTCTGTTATCAAAGCTTCTACCCCGTCGAAACAAGTTCGGATAAAGATTTTCCTCATTCAAGAATACATATAGATAGAACCACATAGAAGCGACGGGAAATGCTAGTGTCCTTTGGGCACCGGAATATATGTCGGACAAGAACAAATGCATGTGGAAACGTTATGCCAGTCCAAATTCATTCTATGGGTTTTTTGTCAAGTACCACATGCAATATCAATTTGGAGCTTATCAGTTACAGGTCCGCTTGTAGAGGAGCAAAAAAAAGCTTAACATGTGTGAGACAAGGGATGATGTAGTATGTGCTATTGAGGAGTGCATGCAGAAAAGAAGCTAGTCAACACCAGAATGGTGACAATCAATCAAGTAGAAAGGGAGGCACAATAGGAGGATACGGGATGTACTAGTGAGACTTAAGCACGAAATATGGAAGCTATAAGAGCATTGCTAGGAGAGCAGTCAGATGTAGGCTTGTGATGGACGCAGAGTGGTTGTGCTACTCACAGGGACGTCAGATTGACAAGGCTGCCCAGGCTAGCAGGTATGGGGCCATTCAAGTTGTTGCCTCCAAACCCCCTACCATGCCATGTCATGCCATGCCATGCCATGCCACACGTGCATGCCGGGGAACAAAGTGCATCAGCTTCTTGCAAGGATGTGTGTGAAAATAACTGGTGCAGCACAACGTGCTACCTTCGCTGATGCTGTCAAGGTCAGGACAATGTGTGCACAACCCATTTCTCAAGGAAGCATTTGTGCCCTCCTTTAACATCCCTTCTTCACAACAGCACCACTTCCTTTATCACAAAAGGGCTGTCTGCGGCTCACAGTTGCTGCATCGATGCAAGGCAGGAGATGGAGTCAGGGAGGGAGCCATTGAGCTGGTTGTCGCTCACATCGCTGGGGATTGAGTGGGGCATGGTGGTGGACGGTGCTTGTCAGAAGGGTAAGGAGGTGAGAGTGCAGGGGGGGTGGAGGGGAGGGCGGGAAGGAAGCGAGGATCCAAGGCAACTTGTCACTGTGCTCAAATGACGAGGGGCTTGCAAGCCCTCAAATGACGTAGATATGAAAATACAACATTAATAGAGTGAATGGGCACACAAAGCGCTCACAAGGGGCGAAGGAAGAGAAGATTCAAAAGGGGCGAAGGAGGACGAGGCGGTGATCTCACAGCACACGCAACGTGTCTGCAATGTCCAAATGCACATGTGGCCTGCATGCCTCATGCGTTTCCAGCTGTTTTTCATATGGCCAGATGCATGCACACCATCCTGCTAGCATGCTCGGCTCGTCTCCGCTCCATGCGGGGTAGCGTGACACGGCATGGCACAACACAGGACAGCTGATAGCGTCGGAATGACATGTAGCCTGCTAAGCCATTGTGCTTAAACATGTTATTGTTGTACATTTATGCCGGGTAAAACCTTTGTGGTGGGTCCTTCAAACACAAGAAGCCGTGCTTGATCAATCCAGTCGCAACAGGCACCAATGGTACCACCACCATTACCTTACACGAGTGGGATGGTTACTGCGAATTTACTCATAACTAGATCTCTACAAATCATTGAATCATCTTACTAGCTTCTCTTTGTTCTCACTTGGCTTCGAATGCTCTCCAGCAGCTAATTTGATCACTGTGGCGAGTTACCATACCAGTTGCCTTGGACACGGCTGCATGCTATGTAAGGATCTCCTTCGTTCTGAATCGTGGTTGGCATTGTCCTTGTCATTTCTCAAGCGAGCTTGTGGGGAAGCACCTGAGGGTCGAGACTCAGTTAAGAAGCTCAACAGCAGCCCAGAGTGGTGTTGAACCTCACCTTCGTGTGGCATTCTTACTACGAGTCTCCCTCCTTACTGACTCCTGGTTGGCATTGGCCTTGCAAAAGGCTTTGCGGGGCAGCACCTGAGGGTGGAGGCTCAGTTTTGCAGCCCTGAAGCAGCCTAGCCTCGGCCTACCTTCTTCATATGCCACTCCGTTCCTTCCTCATAACTTGAGGAGCTCATGGGATGAGTGGTGGCACTTACAAGAACGTTGAGAACTCACAGGTTAAAGAGAAACAGGGTCCAAATGCCTTGAGGAACAACGCCAGAGAAGCGGTTGTGGGAAGAGTTGCTGTTGGCACAGGTGAGCATTGGCAAAGAAATGCTACCGGTGTTTAGGAGGACAGAGCATCTGATTTAGAAGAAGGTATGGCCAGGTCGTAGCAAGAACGAAGGATGCATATACCACTTACAGATGATACACTGAAATCCAGTCAGCAATTGTTGGTGGAAGGGGTCCTGAGAAGTTGTTGTGTGCGAGGTCGCTGTGCGCAATAAAGAGCATGGCTACGATGCAATGAAATGAGAGGCTAGGATGCAATGAAATGAGTGGCTAGGATGCAATGAAATGAGTGGCTAGGATACAATGAAATGAGTAGCGTGGATGCAATGAAATTAGTAGCTTGGATGCAATGAAGTTAGTGGCTTGGATGGAAATGGCAACATGTTATCTGCATGTGGAGGCACAGTTGCGTGACACGGAAAGAAAAGGTCCGCAAAGCATGACTGAGAACGAGTTACATGGTTTTGGTATCCCATTCATCCAAACTCAAGAATATGGAGGGGAATGGTCCTGTGAAGCTGTTGTTAGACACGTTGCTGTGGAGGAGGGGCATAAAGGGAAGGTGGACAATGATGCATGCAGCTGGTGAGATGATGAAGGGAAGAGGATGGGATGGCATCATGGGAGGGGGTAAGAAATACATGAAAAAAGGGGGAGTGTAAGGAGAAACAGTGGAATGGGTGAAACTGGTGGATCAGCAAGTCACATAAATTCATTTTCAAACTGAATGAATCTTGGCAATTCACAATGCAGAAGCCACCTAAGGCATTTGTGCAATCTCTTTACCACACAAATGCACAAATGCATAAAATATAGTGGAAGAAGTTGCATCTAAGTAGATATTGATTCTAGAAGCCAAAAAACCGGATCAAAATCCAAATCATGTGTAGCTCAAACAACATTGGTGTCTGACAAAGTCACTAAGTGAAACAGTAAAAAGAACCTGAGCTATACTTGGGAAAGCAGAAACTTGTACCCCACACAAGCATCAACGAGTTATGTTGAGACTTTGTGCACCATGTGACTTTGAGAAGCTTACAGCCGAGAAATTGGCACATCGGAGGAAGGAAACGGGTCAGAGAAATTGCATGATGCAGCATACAACCTGAGGACCACTCGATGAAAGAAGGGTTGGAGGGTGGGGAGGAAAGAAGGGGAAGTGGGGAGGGGGGGACGGAAAGAAAAGGGGAATGGTTTGTGGATAGGGCCTAGAGGTCAGGAGGGTGGAATGAAGGTAGAAATACAAAGCTAGAGAAATTTATTATCAAAGATGAAGCAAATGAGAGGAGCAAAAGACAGTGCCATGAAGTATGATATGAAAAGTTCAACTTCCAATGCAGCCATTGCTGATTCACATACCACATAATGATGTATTGTAAGGTGTCACTCACACTACGTTTTCACCCATGATGATGTTAAAGAACACACCCAAGCCTTCGCTAAGAGGATTGTAACAGAGGTCTCTATGGAGGGCACGAAAGACGGTTAGCATGGCAACCAAGCACTGGTGATGGGGGCATTGGAGTAGAGCGAGAGGCATGCAGTGTGATGGATGGAAAAAACGGGAGGACATGCCTGGTCGTGGTTGTTATTGCAAACCCTCAGCTGTTATTCACGCGTAGCGAAATGGGTGTGGGCAACAGGTGCATGGGAGAGAAAGGCTCTACCATGCGTGATGGGGAACAGGTGTCGGAGATAGAGCGAGTCATAAAGCGATTATAGGAGTGTTCAAGAAAAGTTCCACATACGACGAGCAAAGAGCGACGAGGACAAGAAAAAAATGACAAGAACAAGATGACAAGAACAGGACCTGCACACTTTACCCCGGAACCTCGTGGTCTTCCACAGGAGGGGACTCAACGACATGATTGCCCCTACGGCATTAAAAGCTGTCAACTGATGCCACGACAGTTGACAGGCGACCGAAGCACGAACCAGCTATTGCAACATTTACCGGTTGGCTACGTCCTGATTGCGTTCATGCCACAGCTCGATGTCGTGGTGTGTGTAGCAGTGATTCTGCCTCTGCTTCCGAACCCCTTTGAAAAAGGAAACCCCTCTTGAAAGGGGGAAGATCGCACAGGCTCAGAGGCTGTCCTGCCCAGTCTTGGAGGCCTTGTGTTGTGTGCCTTTTCCAAATCCAAACCCCTCGTTTTCAAAGCGAACACTCACCCATTAGCTGCTCCCTTGTTTCATTTCACAGTACGGTAATCCATGAGCACCCGTGAAGTCACAATTTTTAAGAGAAACATTATAATTTTCTCTTCTTCAACTTTCCTGGCCTAACAAAGGGCTCAACTTACATTTGATTGTAAACCACTGAATCAACATTAGCACCATAGGGGGGCACGGGTCCCTTGATGTCGTTGTGGTTTAAAAACCTGAAAGGGGCCAAGTGGGACGAATTGTTCATCCATGCTGCTTCAAGGTTTGTTAACCCAGTTTTTATGTGTGTTGTTAGTAGCTTGAATATGGGAAGTTTTTATAAGCCCATGAAGCGGCAAGCACATTGGAATGCAGGGGAGTCACGAGCATGTGTGGAGTCCATCCAATGGCGTCATACCCCACCCGTGACTCGTAGCTAAAGTCATAACTTCAGATGAGATGAGATGAGCGGAGACAATCAGCAGAGTAGATGAGAGCAAGGTAAAAAATACGATCGTATTTGTGAAATTTACCGTAAATGACGGAATCGTAATTTACGGTCGTAAATTTCGGAAACAAACGGGGTGACCTTGCTGAATTAGGTTGGTTATAACATACGGTCGTGACCGAAATGTTGAAATCGAGTTTGAATTTCGACATTTCCCAACCGTCACCCTGCTTGTGAGAAATGCCCAAATTTACTCGAGTGTGTTTTTTTCCCGAGTTGGGAGTGTGGGGAGGGAGTAGGAGCAGATTTAGCCTAAAGGTAGGTACTGGGTAGGCTTAGCAATAGTAGTGGTGTAGTGGTCCATTGTAGGCTTGTTTCTCTGTAGTGTAGTTTGTTGCCGTCTTCCTTGTCATCGTTGTAATCGTTGGGATGAGCAAAGGACGAACTCGAACATGTTCGCGTTAGCCCTTGCACGAAGTTCGGTTCGCCGAACGACTTCCCCCAAGAAGGGTGTTTGCCATTCGCCTGTGAAGGCGTGTTCGGGCGAACCTCGAACACGTTCGTGTTCGTCGCGGGGCAAATTGCAACAGTGGCCCAAAAAAAAACCTGTTTGAGGCGAACCGAGCAGGTGTTCGTTTCTTTGCTCATCCCTAATCGTTCTAGTAGTTTCTGGAAGGAAATCTTGCTGCAAAAACAGTCCAAAAAAAAAAAGACCGTATTTTACGATTACCTTATTTTTGAACCTTGAGCCACAAAGAATCAGGTACCAACAGGTTGTCTCCTTGTGCACTTGATGTGAACCCCACTCCCAGGCCAGGCTGCACTCATTTCCAAGAGCGCTCCTTTGTGTAGCGCTTTGTCTTCTCCTATCTCCCTCCCTCTGGCTCGCTCATGTCCATGTGGACTTACAGATTAAACACTTCGATGGAGGTAGGCAGGGTGGTGAGGTGATTGTGGGAGAGGTCTCTGCACGCAGCAAGGGCAGGCAGTGAGAGCCGTCAGAGGGCAGGGGATGTGGAGGGGAGGGCAGTGGAGGGGAGGGCACTGGAGGGTACGTGGAGACATGCACGCTGAGATAGGGGCGAGAATGCTTCTGTGCCACTCTCCAGGGGATTGTGCGGTCTGCAACATCTCTGGTGTTGGAAAGGCAAGAGGCGAGGCAAGGCTGTGAAACAAAAGGATCATGCGGCATTGTCGTGACAGGGTGAAGTCAGTCTAGGTAAAATCACTGAAGCTTCACAAAACAAGCAATTGTATGGAAATCCCAATTAGGCTGCTGGTTGGCTTGGTTCTGAACACAATATAACATAAGTGCCTAATGAAAAGGAAATATGTACATTGCTGAAGTAGCAGCAGGAAAAGAATATTGAGAGAGACTGTCCTAGAGACTCCATCACCAGATTTTGTTTGGTTGACACAGAGCATGCAAGGTGCCACACGGAGGTGCGTTCAACCCAAGCCACTCATAAGAGCATGCCAGGAGAGGCAAGCATTGGAGACTCACAAGGTCTCAAAGGGCATGGCAGGAACGGCGCCGGTGAGATTGTTGAATGCGAGCCTCCTGTGTTGTGTGGAGGTAGGCACGTGTGAAGAAAGACCAAGGCAGGCACGTGTGGGGGAGAGGCCAAGGCAGGCATGTGTAGTATGGATGGAGATTGGCAGTGCAATGCAGCGACGTTGTACAGTGGAGTCAATGCGTATAATGGAGAGGCTTGTACGAACCACTGCTTATGGAGTTGTGACTGCCTTAAGCCATGTGGATAAAGACACACTGGGCGTCTTGCATCCAGCGTCCGGACGCACGCCAAGACGCAGGACGCTTGGCGGGTGTTTCTTCGGGCTGACCGAAAAAAAAAACCCAGCGCGAAATTGACATTCGGGATTTTGTCGCAAAAGTTACTTTCGCAAAATTTTGACCCCCCCCAACCCCTTTTGACCTTTACGATAAGCCCCCCAACCAAATTTGTAAACCCTCTCAAACAAAAAATGTAAACCCAACCCTCTCGACCGCACTACTTCTAAGCCCTGAAATTATTGGTGGGGGGGAAATTTGCCTCAAATGAGTGCTACGTCCTTCTCCCCCCCCACCCCATGCCCTATAAGGGTACATTCTTATCGCGGGTCAGACATCAGGTCAAAGCTTCGAAAGACACAAAGTGACTCGGTTTGTGCCTCCAGAACCTAAATTTGTCTGCCTTCCAAATTCTGTTGGGTCTTCCTAATCTCAACTTCGTGTCTGGCTTTGTGTATGACACGGAATAATGTACCCTAAGATGTTTTTTGGCTGCCCAGACGTCTTTTTTGGCCTGCCAATGCAAGCGTCTTTTTAAGCGTCTCAAAGACCCCAAATTAGCGTCCTGCGTCTGGACGAAAGGGAATACAGAGTTGAAAGGGCCGGGGTGCTATACAGAGGACAATACTCATGCACAAGCAAGTAAGCGCCAAACCTTGGTTGCTCCTGAACTAATACACCCAGAATCAACTCGATTATATAATGTAGGCGCACTGATCTGGGTCACAAGCAAGGCATGGTGAAGGTGAATGATCAGAGGAGAAGATGTGACGTCTTACAGATCTTGCAAGCCTTTGAGCTTGGTGATCCTAGCAGGGATGCTCCCTGAGAGGTTGTTGAAAAAGAGCTCCCCGGTGGGGCCATTTTGAGGAAAGGAAGAGGGTCGGGGGGGGGGAGGTTGGAGGATGGCGCTGTGTTGTGGGAAACGACCACTGGGAGAGCTTTGTCCAATCTCCAGCTCGTGCAAGGCCGTGGTGTTCACAACCTGGCGCTTTGGCGTGTCATTTTGTTTTCTTCCAATTTTATAGGGGTTTGCGTGGAAAGACGGAGGAGGAGAGGAAGTAAAAGGAGAGTGGGTGAGAAGTCGATGCGTACAGGTGTGGAAGACGAGAGAGGGTTGGAGGGAGGGGAGGCGTACAATTGGTTGAGGG